TCTCCCCTTAATTAAGCAGAGTGACTATCTACAAATACATATCTATCCATTTCCACCTGACTTAAATTTTCTTTCTCATTGTCTTAAATGTTTTGTTTGCAAAAACCCACATAAATTTATAGATACCCACTCCTCACTATAGCATCAGAATAATTATTTGACTATCTAGCTAATCTAACTTGATTCTGAGTTCCTTACATATTTTAAAATAAACATTGAATAGATGAATTCTATGTGTGGTAATCTGGATGCAAGCAAACAATATGGGTAAATGCGTATATCTAGCAACAAAGAAATGTAGGCCATACTTATAGTATGGGGACATCTATTCTGAGAAGCAGTGATTGAAAAAGATTTTGGGGTCATGATGCATCATCAGCTGAACATGAGTTGTGTGACACAGTGGCCAAAAGTGCTAATGCAATTCTTGGAAGCATAAACGGGGGTGTAGTGAGGAGGTGTGGCCTCCCTCCAAAGCACTCTCTGTGCCCAGGTAGATGGAGTCAGGCCGGACTCGCCCCTCCCACCAGAAGTTGAGAAGTGGGACAGGAAGTACAAGAGGTGGAACCTCCAGCTCAGTTAGAGCCCAGCCAGGGAAAGAGACAGATGTGCCTGGCTCGCTGCAGGCCTCTGTCGCTGCTGCTGAGCCAGGCAGAGCCCTGACCCAGGAGGAGATCGAGTCTGCAGGGGAGCTGCTGAGGGAGACAGACGCTTCTCCCTGGACCGCCAGTGTTGGAGCGTACGGTTGCCAACTTTCTAATCGCACAAAACCAAACACCCTAGCTCCGCCCCTTCCCTGAGGCCCTTCCCCCACTCACTGCATTCCCCCTCAATGGCTTGCTCTCCCGCACCCTCACTCACTTTCACTGGGCTGGGGCAGGGGGTTGCGGTTCGGGGGGGTGTGGGCTCTGGGGTGCAGGAGGGGGCTCCGGTTTTAGGGGAGCTAAGGGTTGGGGTGGAGGAGGGGGTATGGGCTCTGGCCTGGGGGTGCAGGCTCTGGGGTGGGGGCTGGGGCTGGGGATGTGGCGTTTGGAGTGCAGGAAGGGGCTCAGGACTGGGGCAGGGGGTCGGGACTGAGGCGCAGGCTTACCGTGGGCGGCTCTCCGTTCGCAGCGCAGCGGGGCTAAGGCAGGTTGCCTGCCTGTCCTGCCTCTGTGCTGCACTCCGGAAGCAGCCAGCAGGTCCGGCTCTTAGGCCGGGGTGGAGGTGGAGGGGGATAGGAAAGTCCATGGCACGCGCTGCTCTTGCTCGCAGGCACCGCCCCACCCCAGTTCCCATTGACCAGTTCCTGGCCAATGGGAGTGAGGAGCCGGTGCTAGTTGGGTAGTGCACGGAGCCCCATGGGACCCCCACCTAGGAGCTGGACCTGCTGGCCGCTTCTGGGGTGCAGTGTGGTGCCCCAGGACAGGTACGGAATAGCCTGCCTTAGCACTGCTGACCAGGCTTTTAACGGCCCAGTCGGCGGTGCTGACCGGAGCTGCCAGGGTCCCTTTTTGACTGGGTGTTCGAAAACCAGACAGCTGGTCACCCTACTGGAGTGGGACACCGAGGAGGGCCTCTGCTGCCCCGACGACTCACCCAGTCTTGCAGAGCCACCAACCACCGCAGACATCGAGGCGCTGCTGGGATTATCACTCTACCATATATCCTGGTGAGATGGAGGACAACCCTGGGATCCAGGTACACACCAGGGGAAGGAAGAAGCCCAGGGACAGCTGACTACAGTCAGGCTGCATTGCTGCCAGTATCCAGGTTAGTGTGTTGCGGCTAGAATCCCCGCTGACCCAGTGGCCGAACACTTCACCACTCTTAGGGCCCTGGGCTGGGACCTGGTGAAGTCAGATGGGTCCAGGTACCCCATGCCACCTCCCCACCACAGGTCAAAGGGCCTGCATTGTCTGCCATCTGCCAATGCTAGGACAACAGGCTGCTTGATTGCTCTGCCCCTGCCTGAGGGCCAGAGCCCATAGTCTTCTTGGGAGTTTTGCCCTGCTTGAAGGTCAGGGCCCACTGTCTGCTTAATTGCTCTGCCCTGACTGGGGGCCTGAGACTATAGACCGCTTGTCAGCTCCGCCCTGCCTCAGGGCCTGAGCACGCAGATTCTTGTTGCAGACTGCTTATTAGCTCTGTCCCCACCTGAGGGCTAGTGCCCACAGATTGTTTGGTGCCCCACCCGCTGAGAGCAACTAGTTTTCTAATTCCCCCTGATATTTGACAGTAATCCCGGTGATGTAGTGAGGAGGTGTGGCCTCCTTCCGACCCACAGCGGGAGGAACAACTGCCACTGCACTACAAGGGGAATCTTGACTAGGAGTAGAGAGTTATTTTACCTCTGTATTTGGTACCGGTGTGACTACTGCTGGAATACTGTGTCCGCTATTCAAGAAGGTGTTGATAAACTGGCAAGGGTTCAGAGAACAGCCAAGGGGATGATTAAAAGATTAGAAAACATGCCATATAGTTACAGACTCAAGAAGCTCAATCTAGTTAGCTTAACCTTCTCTTTCTTAAGGGGTGACTTACCTAGATGGGGGCGTCAAATATTTAATAATGGGCTCTTCAATCTAGCAGAAAAAGATATAACATGATCCAGTGGCTGAAAGTTGAAACTAGACAAATTCAGACTGAAAATAAGATGTACATTTTTAACAATTAGAGTAATTAACCATTGGAACAATTTACCAAGGGTTGTGGTGGATTCTTCATCACCAACAATTTTAAAATCAAAATCGAATGTTTTTCTAAAAGATCTGCTTTAGGAATAATTCTGGGGAAGTTCCCTGGCCTGTGTTATACAGGAGGGCAGATTAGATGATCACAATAGTTCCTTCTGGCCTTGGAATATATCAATTAATCTATGTGCTAAAGCTAAACATTTACTTAGTGATATTCCTGAATGTGCAACATGTTGCACAATATTCACCCAGAAACTTACAGGTCTGAAGAATAATATATAGCTGATGTGGAGTGGGGTCCTTGCAGTCCTAAATGAGCCAAAATTTCCCATTGACTTCAGTATACTGACCCTGATGTTATATATGTCATCTTTTAGGTATGTGGACCATCTACTTTACTGGTGTAATTTCTCAGTATAACCAGTTAGTAAAACTTTTCCCTATGATATTCTGCACGTAAGTACAACATACCGGTCTTCTAGTCAGGATCATACAAAGTTATGCAATTTTAAAAAAGTTTTTCATCAGTTCTCTAAGCTTAATAAAGATGATCTCTGAAACCTCTCTTGAAATTCCAGCATAAATGTTCTATCGGGCAATATAGTCTATTTAACTTGCTCTGTGGTAAATCACATAACTACTCTACATCTGGGATAATATCTACCTTGTAGGTGTGCACTGAGGACTAGTTGTACTGTGCTTTGAAGCCATGAAATGCTAATGTTTATTCTTACAGATGTTCTAAGTGTTGTTCAACTGATTCAGTATAACTTCTATGCATGCTGAAATAACAATTGAGCGGGCATGCTCAAGATCTACACGCTATTCTTTACAATGTTCATGATATAGGTAACGGATATCTACAGTACATATAGCAGAGAACAGGTCATCTATGTGTATTTTCATTGTTTTGTAGTCTTTCATGGAAGGTACACTGGATATATGCACTAAAACCCAGGACACTTCAGCTCAGACTTGTCTTCACCAGTTTCACAAATTAGTCTCTTTTGATGACTCTGATAAGAGGCTGCTGATTTCTGAGAATGAATTAATAAAATTGCTGAGGCTTGTGATTTCATGTATTTGTGCATGTTAAAAGAATGTTAAGGTTTCATTAAATTGGCAGTCCTATAACGGTTTATTAAAATTTCAGTTTTTATTAACTTCATTAACTGCTCATACCATCTGGTGTTATATGCCTGTATATACATTTATAGGAGTGTTGCAGTATTTAATTATAATATACATACAAATACAGTACATGCACCATACACAGAAATGGAAGATCTGGTGATTTCATAAATCTAATTAGGCCATTTTTGTAGAGGATTTTTCAGCAATGGGAACCTTTCTCCCCTTAAAACTTTGTCAGCTGAAGCTAAGGTTACTCCCTAACACCTAATGGATGTCTCATCATAGCCTTGAGATTTACACTTCCATGTATGTATACACATCTGTAGCAGTACATACCCAAATCACACACATGGCTGACTCAGTTAACCACTGACTGTTTCTTCTATTACTCTACACAAATACAATTGAGCTGGCATTCATCGTGAGGTAAAAAGCAGCTCAGCTATGAAAGCTTTGGCTGGTTATTGCCTTGAAGATTTGACTATGTGTTTGTTTGAGAAGTGTAAAAGAAAATCTTGAACTGTCGGATGGAAAAAGAGCATATTCTCTGCAATACCATTCTGACTGTATAGAAGAACTTCCAGGACCTGAGTCCTGAACTGAGTCTTTTTGCTGTTGAAGGTAACAGGAAGTGAACTAGCTCCATCATTAGGAAATATATGTTCACTTTTTACTTCTGGAGTATCGCTCAACTTTTTTTTTATTGCTTGATGTTGGCAGGTGCTATGTCCAACTTTTAAAACGGTTAATAAATTGGAATTAATTAAACCTTTCCATTTATCTAACATGTAGAGCTGGACAAAATTTGGAAGAGAGCTTTTTTTGTTTAAAAACACACCACTTGGATTAGCTTGGCCCCTTTAAGAAATCCATGTTGATTTTGGAAAATTTCAACGGGGGCCAATGAAGAAAAATTCAAAATTAAACCTGTCCCTTTCAGGCTCGAGTCTCAGGGGCATTTAGGTGCTGTTCAGGGCTCAGTGGTGGTCGCCTGATACCCAGTATCCAAGGTGCGTGTCTACCCCCCGGCTCCTTGGCTATGCTGGGGTGGGGGTCTCGGTCTCTACTGGGGAAGCTGTTCGGGGTGGGGTTGGGGAGGCGGGGGGGGGGCAGGTCTGTGCTGGGCGGGGGCCAGAGCCGGGCCGGGGGGGCGGGGAGAGGAGGTCGGAGGGCCGCTCTGTGCTGGGCCGCACGGGGGGCGGGCAGCGGGGCCCAGGGCTGTTCCGGGAGGGCCCGGCCGGGAGCGGAGGAGGCCGGCTCGGAGGAAGTGATGGAAGCTGAGGAAACAGGAAGAGCCGCGGCCGGTAAGAGGGAGCAGGGAGCCCGCACCCGCTCGCCCGCCCCTCACAGCTTCTCTGCCCCCGCACGGCACCGCCCCCCCCGCTCCCTCCCTGCCCCCCACCCCGCCCGGCATTGCCCCCTTGCCTCCCACCCCGCCCGACAGTGCCGCCACCCCCCCGCACGGCATTTCCCCTCCTGCCTCCGACAGTGAGCCCCCCCGCACTTCATTGTCCCTACTGCCCCCCTGCCCCCAACTGTGTCCACCCCCCGCACGGCATTGTTCCTCCTCCCTGACAGTGACCCCCCCTCACGGCACTGCCTCCCCTCCTCCACTGCCCCCCTGCCCCTGACAGTGAGCCCCCCGCAGGGCATTTCCTCCCCTGCCCCCGGCACTGCCCGTCCCCGGCACTGTTCCCTCTCCCCTACTGCCCCCCGCCCCCCGCACGGCACTGCTCCCCTTCCCTCCCCTCCCCACCTGCCCCCAACAGTGACCCCCCCACATGGCTCTGCCCCCCCTCCCCCACTGCTCCCCTGCCCCCGACAGTGCCCCCACCCCCCGCACGGCACCGCCCCCCCGCTCCTGACAGTGCCCCCCCCCTGCCTGGCACTGCTCCCCTGCCCCCGACAGTGCCCCCACCCCCCGCACGGCACTGCCCCCCCGCTCCTGACAGTGCCCACCCCCTGCCCGGCACTGCTCCTCCTCCGGCACTGCTCCCCTGCCCCCGACAGTGCCCCCCACCCCCCGCACGGCACTGCCCCCCGCTCCTGACAGTGCCCACCCCCCTGCCTGGCACTGCTCCTCCTCCGGCACTGCTCCCCTGCCCCCGACAGTGCCCCCACCCCCCGCACGGCACTGCCCCCCGCTCCTGACAGTGCCCACCCCCCTGCCCGGCACTGCTCCCCTGCCCCCGACAGTGCCCCCACCCCCCGCACGGCACCGCCCCCCCGCTCCTGACAGTGCCCACCCCCCTGCCCGGCACTGCTCCCCTGCCCCCGACAGTGCCCCCCATCCCCCGCACGGCACTGCCCCCCCGCTCCTGACAGTGCCCACCCCCCTGCCCGGCACTGCTCCTCCTCCGGCACTGCTCCCCTGCCCCCAACAGTGCCCACCCCCTGTGTGGCACTGCTCCCCCTCTCCCCCACTGCTCCCCTGCTCCCGACAGTGACCCCCCCTGCTCCCCGCACGGCTCTGCCCTCCCTCCCCCACTGCTCCCTTACCTCTGACAGTGCCCCCCCCGCACGGCTCTTTCCCCCTTCCCACTACCCTGGCAGTGCCCCCTTTCCTTCAGTCTGGCACTGCCTCCTCCCCCTGCACAGTACTGCCTCCCTTCCTCCTGCCCTGGCACTGCCCCCCTTCGTTCAGTCCTTGCACTGTCCCCCTGCAGAGCACTGTCCCCTTTCCTTCAGCCTGGCCCTGCCCCCCGCATGGCCCTGCCCCTCTTCCCCCAGTCCTGGCACTGCCCATCCATCCTGCATGGCACTGTCTCCTTTTCTCCAGCCCTGGCATTGCCTACCCGCACAGCACTGCACTCCCTTCCTCCAGCCCTGGCACTGCCTCTCCTGTGGGTACAAAGGCCCTTTGCTCTCCTGTGTCCTTTTCTGCCTTATACCCCCTTCTTTCCTACTCCTTTTTCCAATGCCCACTTATATTCTCCTGGTCTTATCCCTGCTTCTTTCGGTGCCCCACCTCTGCCCTCACCTTGCTCCCTGGCATTGCTGTCCCTTCCCCCCGTTCCCAGGCAGGCTCCTAGACTGAGCTTTAATGATGCTACCAGGCTGGACCTGAAACAATATTAAACTTCTGGGCACTACCCAGCCACAACAAATCCCTCTGGTGGGGCTTTGTGAGTGACTGCCTCTCACAATCTGCTCTGAGCTGAGCTGGCTGGAAGAGGACCAAGATTAACTTCCAGCAGCATGTTAACCAGCCACTTCCACAGAAGTCTGCTGGTCCCTACATAAGTTATCACACCAGACATGCTGTTTATTAAGGATGCTGTTTTTCAATAGTGTGTGTGTATTTTGTATGGTATTACCGGGTTGACCACTTGATTGGCAACATCTAGCGAGATTTAAAGATCTGACTTCAGGTTTTCTATAAATTACCAAAACACACAGCAACAAGTTTGTGTGTGCCTAGGAAATTTCGCTCAGTTCCTGTGCAGTCACAGTTTGACTCTAGGTGTCCTTGGTTTTTATTGCAAAGTTCCCATGAGACTTTTTCTAGGTCCAAAGGTGGTAATTTTTTCTGGTCTTACAGTCTGATTCAAAATCCATGGAAGTAAATGGGAAGACTTCCCTTTACTGCGATGGGGTTTGGATTAGAAAGCAGTTACAGTCAGAAAAATAGCACTGTCAAAATGGCACCACTTCCTTCACACACCTGGTCCTTTAGTGTGTTTATAGCCCTATGAATGAATATAGTGGTACTGTGGTTTAGTAAATGAACACAGGAGAGACAGTAAAGAGGAACAGAGGGAACACAGTATATGTAAAAAAATCTTCAAATCATAATTCCAAGGTTTGAGTCTCATGCTAAAGGCAGTGCTATAATCCTCCAATCAAAACTTCACTTTTGCTTTAAGAGGAAGTAAAGGAATCAAGAATAATGGAGAACAGAGTAGTAACTATGTTGTCTCTTGGCCACAAGACAGTAGCTAATTCGATTAGTATGATATGGAATGAGATATATGGAGCCTTTCCTGCATATTGTTGCAGAGTTTATCCTTTGTTAATCGCTGGTGAATGGAATGACAAATAACAGAAGAAGCAGAAATATTTGTTGTAAAGTAATGTTTGGAAATTTGAAAAAAAATAAGCAAAAATTAATTACAAATATTTCTAGTAGCAGGCTAAAGAGTTTCTCTCCCCAGCAGAGGCTGACAGAGAGAATGGAAAAAAAAATAATGCTGATTTGTGTGGCAAGTTTCTTTTGCCCTAAAATAGATACTAATTTAGATCTATAGCTGTAAGCGAAACAATAATCAATCTAGCATTTGATGCTTGGTAATGGATATGATTTTGAGATAGGTGGGCCTTTGTGCATGCTCAGTAGTGGATCTCCAAGAGAGTCTTGAGTGAATAGTGTTCTTGGTTTATATTTGACTAAGAGCATTTCCAAGAAGTTCTGTTCATGCACTCCCTTGGATAAGGGCCGATTGCTTCACCTCGGTTAACTTTTGCACTGCTTTCTCTCATGCTCTGTCTCTGCACTGTGCTTTTTTAATTTGTCAAGCTAACAGGTAAATGGAGAGAAAGGGAATTTATCTTCTGAAAGACATTTTAAGTTGCTGCCATTTGTCTAAAGCACCTACTTCATCCCCTTCAGTAAAATAATTATGATGATGTTCATTAGTTCTTCTAATGCTCGTGTCTAAATGTGCTGAAATCAGATTACCCTATTTTTTTCTCCTATCAGCCACTTATGAAAGTCAAACATTTGTAATGATGATATTGGCTTTTTTGGAAGACTCGCTACTCTGCTGATGCTTTTAAATGAAGTATCTTCAGATGAATGCAACTTGGTGTTCCTTGTCCAGACAAATCTTGTGCTGCTAAGCACTTTAGGTTTTGTAAACATTTCCCCCGCTTCATTTTGTATTGCTCCAAGTCATGTGTTTTGAATGGTTCTTTCCTCACCCCACCCCAATCCCCTCTCTCTTCAAGAAAAGATTTTAGTGTTTCTAGCTATTGTTACAGTTCTGTCTTATTTCTTTGACTGCACATCCTTGAGCTTAAAAAAAAATTCAGCAGCAATTGGCAAGTGGTGCAATAAAAAATGAAGTCTCTGAATGTATTGGAGCCAGCCTTTAGCTTTGCTTTCTCATGCTGTGTTTTTTTTGATCTTACATTGCTCTATGACTGAGATGCTACAACTTTAAGTGTTCTTGCTGTCTGATCTTGCAACTCTTACTCCCAAAATAATCCCATTGACTTCAAGTGACAATAAAGGTTGTTCATGTGAATAATAAGGCTTGCAGGCCTGTCCATCTAAAATTAAACCTATTTGCCCTTTGTGTAGATCCTGTGCCAACCCTAACATTGAGAAATGAGCCAGCTGCTCACCTGGAACTTCAGCTAATTATTTTAAATACAGTCTGCTCTCATGTAGTTTTTTTTTCTTTTCTTTTTTTCTTCAAGGAGCCCTGAGGTTTGCACGTACCATAGGCTCTGGGAAGGGCATTTTTGTGGGTAATACAGCATATAATCCTGGGGCCTTAGTGATAGTTACTAAATGACTAATCTGTGTATCTAGTTTAACAGTTACAGTAAAGGAGCCTTAAAATTACACCTGTCCTGCGGAAAGATTTTTTTCATGAAATCCATGTTAATCAATAGAGTTTACCTTCCTGTGCAGGAGATTTGCTGCAGGACAGGTGGAATTTTAAAGCTCCAGATCTGTATTTGCAACATCAGATGTGTTAGAAACCAGGTCAGTACGAATTTTCCACATCCGCTGACAGTGGCAAAACTAAGAGGTTCCTGAGCTTTTTCTGTGGCAACACACAGTACTTTATGTTGCCTTTGCAAAGTGACTGGCAGCCCCTTGGGTCACACATATCCAAAGTACACAGTCTCCCGCTCAGTTACCAAGAGGTCAACGGATGCTTAAAAATGTTGCATTTTTAACCTTTGAAACTGAAGTCTGGTGACTGGTCTTTGCAGTATTACTGAGAACAGATGGCAAACAGCTCCACAGACATAATTCTTACTTGTAATTCATTCCTGTGAAGTTCTACAAACATCTTCACAAAATCTCAGAGAATGCCTCCATGTTTTTTGCTGTGTTACAACATCAAGCCAAATTAAATAAAAATTCCATTTGGTATCATTCAGATTCCCTTGGTGTCACGTGATGTTTTTGTAAAGATTGCCTTGCAGCAGTTTCAGATAAGTGCACGTTTGGTAGCAATTTAAGGCCTGTGTCCTTTAAGTAATGCTTATTAGTACGTAACAGATGCTGTTTAGAAACATTATGCCTTTAATAGGCTCTGCTTTTAGACTGTATGTTCTCTTTTTCAAG